GGAGTTATCAACCCATTCGGGGTGCTTGTTGTGGGGAATGCGTGTCATTATTCCAAAAATACTGAGACAACAGATGTTAGAGCAACTGCATTCAGGTCACTGTGGAATGGTGCGCATGAAAGAAATTGCACGAAGCTATTTTTGGTGGCCTGGTTTGGACAGTGACATTGAAGAGGAAGCAGGAGCTTGTATTTCTTGCCAGGGTGTGAGGAATGCACCTCAATTGGCACCTCTGCACCCAGGGGACTGGCCTGAAAAACCATGGCAACGTATTCATGTTGATTTTGCTGGCCCATTTGAAGGTAGCATGTTTTTGGTGGTGGTAGATGCTCATTCCAAATGGCTGTGGCAAAATGGAAGAGATTTGTGGTTTGGCGTGGCGAAATGGACATTCAACCGCATTCTGCACCAATGCATACGATCCTTGATTATATTCTATCTTTGCATCAGTCGGGTCTCTCAATGTCTACCCTACGGGTTCACCTCTCTGCAATTACCACCTTCCATTCCACCATCGGAGGTCATTCAGTATTTACTCACCCTATGACAAAAAGGCTGCTTAAGGGGATAGCTAATCTTAAACCCCCGTGAAGGCCCATTCCTCCTTCTTGGAACTTGGATCTTGTACTTGATGCATTAATGTACCTGCCTTTTGAGTCTCTAGCCACCACTTCATTACCAATGCTCAATAGCAAGGTGGTGTTCTTGTTAGCCATTCAAAAGTGTCTGGGCACCTTACTAGCCTACAGAAACACACCTCATGCTACAACCAAAACGCCCCCAACTTTTCTAATGATGGAATGTCAGCTGCACATTTGCTTTGATCTGCTGAAACCTTCTGAACCACAACAAATTATGCAACATCAACAGCAAGGTCAAGTCATCAGGCGTGCATCCAGAGCAAAAGACCGAACCTTTAGTCCTGGACAGTTTTGGCTCGGAACTATGTTCCTGGAGCTAAATGGGTCCCCTGCCACTATTATTGCTCAAACAGGACCTGTTTCCTATACTGTCCGGACTGCGAAAGATCTCATCTGGCAGCGGCATGTAGATCAGCTATTGACAGGTTATTTCTGCCCCCAAGGCACATCTCCAGTTGAGTTGCCCATCCTTCCCACTGCAGGTGAGCTACTGTGTCAAGAATCATCTGCTCCTGACTCTCCTCCTTCATCACCACAAGCAGCGAACAATAACCTCCTCCCTGAGCAGGCTGATCCAACAGCCTCACCTGTTCACACTTCAAATTCCCAGCCCAGTGTCAGGCCTGCACCCAGAACATCTTCGGGTGCGAGAACGCCGGATGTCCGCCGTAATCCACCTAGAGAAAGGAGGCCTCCTCAACGGCTGGACCTTTAGTTGAGATTAACTCACAGATGGGGCAAAATAATCCCTAGGGTTAGCTGGGAATTTGAGGCATTCTACCCTCATTTCATAGCTAGTTTTTGTTTTCTTAAAGGGACATTTTTATTAAGGGGGGAGGAATATGTTGTATATTGGGTTGTAGATATAGATCTTGTTGTTATGGTAACTCAGTAGGTCACTGGGGTCAGCCCAGCTAGTCTGGGCTTGTTCTAGTGCGTTCTGTGCTATGCAATAAAATGGACACTTGCACCTACTCCAGCTCTCTGCCTTTCCACTGATTTCTTCCTATGCTGTGAAACTCCCCACGACATAACAACTGGGTCATTGGGAGGGGGAGTCAGAGGAAAGAGCAGTTTGGAGAATCCCTTGTGCGTGGAAGAGAGGCAGAAACACAGCACTTTTAAGCCTCCTGGGAAGGGGGAGATAAGGGGCTGAATGCATGCGTAGGTGGGAGGGAAAAAGGGTGTTAAGCATTGGGGTGAGGTGGATGCAGGGAGATAGTTTGTTTGTGCTGTGAAGTAGGGGAGGAGTGGATAATTTGTTTGTGCTTTAGCTGGGAGTTGACAGGACAGACTGCTGGTGCCTGCTACTTTGAGAAGCAGAATTTTATCTCAGTCCCTACCTGGGCTGGGGGCAGCAGACTGCACAGGGGTAGATGGGGGAAAGACTATTATTGACTTTAAAAAGTATCAACGGCGCACAGATCCATACATAGAAGTGAATAAGTTAAATCTCAGCACACCACTTCTAGAAGGCTGCTGACCACTGGTCTGGAAAACACTGTCACACTAGATGCTACTTACAGGGCCACTACTTCTATTGATGCTATTTTCAATGGTAAGTGATCAGGACAAATAAAATTACAGACTCTGAGAACATCAAGGTGTTTTCATAAGCGTATTAACAAAAGTGTTCTATGTAAGACATGGAGGTAACTGTCCTACTCTACTTAGCAATAGTGAGACCTCAGTTGGAGTACTATATCCAGCTCTGGGCACCACACTTCAAGAAAAATGTGG